CAGGTCCTTACTAATTTTGTTCCTTATTTGCTCATCTATATTGAACTTAACAACCATGGCTATCCGTATGCCTCCTTTTATAAAAAAGTCTTCTAAAGCTGGAGATGTTCCGAAGGGTCATTTTGTTGTTTATGTTGGGGAGAAGCAGAAGAAGAGATTTGTAATCCCCATATCGTTCTTGAGTCAACCTTTATTTCAAGACTTGCTTAGTCAAGCTGAAGAAGAATTTGGCTTTGATTAACCAATGGGTGGTCTCACAATTCCCTGCCGCGAGGATGTCTTCATTGATCTTATTTTTCACTTGAGTAGGATATGAGGCTTTTCCTTTCCCAGCTTTGTAAAGAATAGGATTTCCAGTTTGTACGTTAGATGAATTAGGAAAGACACATTATTCATATTACTGAAAATTAGATAGAGGGGGCTACTGTCAGCTGCAACAGTAGATCCCAATTTTGAATGTAATTTTCAGTAGCTGATGTCAAAAAGACATACAGCACATTCATTAGCAAATATAATCTGTTCATATTCACTCTTTAGCCAATTGGATTTTCAGTATTCTTGTTGGATAAATTTCTTTTCAAGATTCCATTTTCTCCATAACATGGGAACTGGATCTTCTAAAGCGCTAAAAGTCTTTTATAATCAACTCTAAAGGAGACACCTATCCTGAACACTGAAATTTTTTGGCAATGACAACAAAGTAAACTTAATATTTGTAGCAAAAATTTCAAACTATCAAAGAAGTGACATTAATAGATCACACTCCATTAGATATTTTTATTTTCTGCCATTCTCACAATAAATCTCTGGCTTGATTTATTAGAGTTTCTACCGAACAGCTGAAAAACTTGGATAATTCTGATCCGTGAAGTTAATTAAATCATCAGATTAAAACAACTTATGATATGAGGACAATAAATTGTATCTTATTTTAGTCAACTTATTTCTAAAAATATTTATTAGTAGTATATAAGTACATATTTTCTGGTGGGTTACCAAAAATAGTGGCTATGCAAGTATACTTATGTTGCTTGTTTGCAGGTTATTAAATCCAAATCCATAAGTTTTTGTGTTTTAAATAAATCAATGTATAAAATCTAAATACCTCAATTGCATGTTGCCTGGTAAGAGTTCTTTATAATTGAAGAGTAACTAGAGCGAGCAATCAGAAGCGCCTTTTTTGTTCTCTTTTTCTTTATCTTTACTGTTCAGGAGCTAAAGTTCACCTTTATGCTCTTTTATTTTTCTCATTTTTTTTTAATCTTGTTATATAAGTTTTGTTGATTGCCAAAATTTGTCCCACATCGGTGGAGGACACAATAGGGTGAGAATTTTTCCCTATAAAAGAAGGCATAATGTTTAGGATTTAAATACACCTCTCATTTGCCTTTTTATCTTCTTAAGACATTTGTATCTTCTCTCTTTAGTATTATTTCACTTGTATTTTTGGAGTGGAATAAAATATTGGTTGTGTCCGAGGAAGTAGGCAAAATTGGCCGAACCTCGTAAATTTTGATGTTCCTTTTATTGTTGCTTTATTGTCTTATTTATTATTTGGTGGTTGTCATAATTTTTGGTATAGTAGTTGTGACTCATTCACACTATATACATTTGGCTTCCACGACAATTGGTATCAGAGCCAAGGTACCGTCTAAGTATGCTCTGTGGTTGTAGCATTGTCTGATCTTCCACATCAGAAAAGATTTATTTTGATAACTGAGTCAAGGTTCTGTCTGAGTATGCTCTGTGGTTGCAGCTTAGTCTGATCTTCCACATCAGAAAAGAAATAATCTTGATTTGTGTCGTCAGCTATTAAATAATATTTGTGTCAAAGATGGGAGACAATAAACAAGAAGAATCTACATCAAGTGTCAACAATACGTCATCATTGGCATCTTCGCTTATGACAAGAATTGTGTCAAATGCGAAATTTGCGGTAGAAATATTTGACGGGTCCGGACATTTTGGGATGTGGCAAGGCGAGGTTCTAGATGTCCTTTTTCAACAAGGGCTAGATCTTGCCATTGAAGAAAAAAGACCAGATGTTATTGGAGAAGAAGATTGGAGAATTATCAACTGTGTTGCTTGCGATACGATTCGATCCTACCTTGCTAGAGAGCAGAAATATTCATACACAAAGGAAACTTCTGCAAGTAAATTATGGAAAGCACTGGAGGATAAATTTTTGAAGAAAAACAGTCAAAATAAATTGTACATGAAGAAAATACTGTTTTGGTTCACCTATATTCCTGGTACCATGATGAATGAACATATCACCAGTTTCAATAAGCTGGTCACATATTTGCAAAATATGGATGAAACTTTTGATGATGGTGACTTGACCTTGATGTTGTTGGGGTCACTTCCTGATGAGCACGAGCATCTTGAAACTACTCTACTTCATGGAAATGACGAAATTTCTCTCAGAGAAGTTTGTTCGGCTTTATACAGCTATGAACAAAGAAAGGGAGAAAAATAGAAGGGCGAAGAAGGAGAAGCACTGGTTGTGAGGGGTCGAGAAAAAGGGCACTAAAAGAAAGGCTGTCCGAAGTTGAAGAATAAGGCCAAACATAACAATGGAAAGGCCATTATGAATTCAAATGTAGCTGATTGTGATGATTCAGACCTCTCATTAGTTACAACAGAGTCATCAACATCATTATACATATGGTTGATGGACTCGGCTTGTAGCTATCATATGTGTCCCACCAGGGACTGGTTCGTGGATTTTCAAGAAGGAGAATATGGAGTCATCCACACAATGGACAACAACCCTCTTACCTTATATGGAATTGCTTCAATACGATTAAGGAACCGTGATGGAATGATCAGAATATTAATAGATGTTTGATATGTACCGACTTTGAAGAAGAATCTCATCTCTGTGAGAGCCCTAGAATCAAAAGGGTTCAAAATCATTGCAGAAAATGGAGTGACGAGAGTATGCTCTGGTGCACTAGTGGTAATGAAGGATAATCGGAAGAACAATAATATGTACCGCTATCGTGGTAGTACAGTTATTGGGACATCGACAGTGACATCCAGTGGCGACAAAGAGGCAGAAGCAACCAAGCTATGGCACATGCGCTTGGGACATGATGGAGGAAAATTCTTGAAATCTCTATCAGATCAAGGATTGTTAAAGGGAGTAAAGGCTTGCAACTTGGAGTTTTGCGAGCATTGTGTCAAAGAGAAACAAACAAGGGTTAAATTTGGTACAACGATCCATAATACTAAAGGCATTTTGAATTATGTACACTTTGATGTTTGGAGTCCTTTCAAAACACCTTCATTGGGTGGGAAGCATAATTTTGTAACCTTTGTTGATGATTTTTTCCGAAGAGTGTGGATGTATACAANGAAGGGAAAGAAAGCAATTGGGTGCAAATGGGTATTTGCAAAGAAAGAAGGATTTCCTAAACAAGAAGATGTTCACTACAAAGCAAGATTGGTGGCCAAAAGATATGCTCAAAAGGAGGAAATTGATTACAGTGAAGTATTTTCTCCAGTTGTAAAATATTCCTCCATTAGAATTATGTTGGCTTTGGTAGCACAATTGGATTTGGAACTAGTTCAGATGGATGTAAAAACTGCGTTTTAGTTGGAAGTCTACGTTGCAGTCAACAGTTGCTTTGTCTTCAACAGAGGCAGAGTACATGGCTATTACAGAGGCTGCGAAAGAGGCAATTTGGCTTCAGGGGTTGCTAAAAGAGCTTGGTATTGGACACAAAAGTATCACAATTTTTTTGTGATAGTCAAAGTGCTATTCAATTAGCGAAGAACCAAGTTTATCATGCAAGGACGAAGCACATTGATGTTCGGTATCATTTCGTACGAGAAATCATAGAAGAAGGTGGAGTCACGGTGAAGAAAATTCATACTAAAAAGGATCCTGCTGATATGCTGACAAAAGTGGTGACTGCGGTCAAGTTTCAACATTGTTTGGATTTGATCAACATTGTTGAACACTGAAAATTGAAGATGAAGACACAACCAAAATTTGTTATTAAGAGAAAATTGAAGATGTGGAATTTTGCCAAGGTGGAGATTTGTTGATTGCCAAAATTTGTCCCACGTCGGTGGAGGACACAATAGGGTGGGAATTTTTCCCTATAAAAGGAGGCCTAATGTTTAGGATTTAAATACACCTCTCATTTGCCTTCTTATCTTCTTAAGGCATTTGTATCTTCTCTCTTTAGCACTATTTCACATGTATTTTTGGAGTAGAATAAAATATTGGTTGTGTCCGAGGAAGTAGGCAAAATTGGCCGAACCTCGTAAATTCTGGTATCCCTCTTATTATTGCTTTATTGTCTTATTTATTATTTGGTGGCTGTCATAATTTTTGGTATAGTAGTTGTGACTCATTCACACTATATGCATTTGGCTTCCGCGACAAATTTGTTGCCCAAAGCCTAAAACATAATTGAATTCCCAGAATTAGTCAAATTTGTATGTGAGAGATGAGGTGTTTTGTTTTTTATAATCTTAGGAAAGAGTTCCTAAACCTCCATATACAAAATAATATATTATCCATTAAGAATTATGATATCCTTAATAGATGATATAAGAGTAGCCAAATATTTTGGATCAAGTTCAGGACCGAGCTAGAAAGCACCTGGAAGGCTGGAACATCCCCTTTCCTTTGTTCTATTTGTTCTAGTGATGGATATTCCATTTTATTTGAATAAATTTTTACTAGAAAACCATTTTAATGACAAGAAATGTCTAGGTGTATATTTAGACATGAATAATCACTCTAGGATACATCTCTTCTTTAGCAATTTAGTTGTGAGGCATGCTATGTTTCAACTTCAGACAAAAGGTAGGGCCTGATGTCTTGATCTTAAATGGACTAAAGATATGAATAATTTGACAATAAGTTGGAAGGCAAAACCATGTTACTTCAGGTGCTATTGTATTCGGTGGGTGTCCACGAAATAACTCTTTACCATCAATAGGATTCTCTGAGTTGCCATTTGGCCTATATAAACACATTCAAAGAGGGACTCCTATCACAACTCTCAGTTTAAAACATTCAAAGGTTTTTTTTCTGCTTTTGAGGTCTTTAGTAGTTCTTCTTTTACTTCTTTGCTCTTATACATTAAAACTAAACGATCATGGCTATTCGTATGCCTCGTATAATCAAGAAGTCTTCCACAAGTGGAGATATTCCAAAAGGCCATTTTGCTGTGTATGTTGGGGAGAAGCAGAAGAAGAGATTTGTAATCCCCATATCGTTCTTGAGTCAACCTTTATTTCAAGACTTGCTTAGTCAAGCTGAGGAAGAATTTGGTTTTGATCATCCTATGGGTGGTGTCACAATTCCTTGCAGTGAGGATGTGTTCCTTGATCTCACATCTCGCTTGAGGAAGTGAGAAGGAAACTAACGAGTCACCAGTTTTTCTCTTACACAATTTTGTAAAGCTGTAAAGTAGGGTCGACAGAGTGTACAATTCAGGAGCTAGAAAAAACAGTCATTTGAAGCTAGTATGAGGAGAGTTACCACACTCTGACTAGGTTAGACTAATGAAATTAGCTCCATAAAGAATGGAGATGTAATACCTTTTCTCTTGATTAAGGAGACATTTTTCTACTTCAAAAGAAATTGAAGTAATGAACATGTTTACTTCTATGGTTCAAATCAATTCCATATATTGATGGAATATTTTATTGCAATATAATAATTCTTGCTCAACTTTCTTGGTTTTGTACGTGCACCTGTTTACCATTTGAAGATGTGAAGATGTGATAAAAGCTTCCATGTTTACCATTTGGCTTTCCAGTTGCCTGTATAGCTTAGGAATGTGAAAATATTTTTTTCTTTCAAGCTAAGTGAAGGATTGCATATAGGTGTTCAATAATAATTCTAGGCAGATCTTTTCGTGTTTAAAGTTTATTTACATGTCAAAGATCGGATCTGAGACGTACATGGTGAAGAGAGTCTCGTTTCAAAAATTCTTCGATATTGCGAAGACTCTATGCATATCCACACCAAGACTGATTCTTGCTATCAACTCTTTGATCAATGAAACCCGCGAACAAATTGAATGAAAAAGAAGCTAAAAAATTTCTCAAAAACTTCGGCGTAGTAGTAATAGGACAAGGAAACAATTTTCTCTGTCAAACATATCTCTCTCGATTGTGCGGCTCATGGATGCCTTATATTTTTTTCGCACATCCTCGTCACATATATACTGATATTTATATATCACCTTTAGTAATCCTTTTCCTATAGGAAAGTTGATTCTACATAATAACTTAGCGTGAGGGACCAAACAAATTGTCAAATATTGCAGTAATTTATTTCTAATCACAGAACAAGTGGTCCGGACCTTAATATTTACAGGACCATCACCCGTTGTTATCAATTTGATTTCTAAAGATCCAGTGTTTTCTATCTTGTCATGAAAACAGCGGGGCCTACTAATCTTCAGGCACAATAGCGTAAAATCATATATACTTGAGAATGAGTTAGATAGCAAAACCATGTGATACTTCATCTGCTATTGTCAATCAACAACGCAACAAATGCCTCTTCACCACTGAAATTTGAGAAATAATTGACTTGTTTTCTCTTATAGTTCGNCTGAAATTTGAGATATAATTGACTTGTTTTCTCTTATAGTTCGTACGTAAATGGACACAAAGTTTGTATATGGGGTATGTTTTAGTACTAATGGATAGTATTTTCGACACAAATCATCATAAGGGACCATACATTCTTATGTATTTGATTCTATTAGATCCTTTGCTCCATGCATAAGAAAATGGTAGGACCTAGTGTTCTTGAACTTATATGAGCTAAAGTAATTAATCTTGTTAATTAGTTGAAAGGCAGGACCATGTGGTTATTGGTATGTCATTTTCTTTCACTGATGCCCAACCCAAATGGCTCTTCACCACAAAATCATGAGATTTTATGACTTTCCATTTGCTTATATAAACATGTTTTGAGAAGTCCCTCACCACCACAGCTCTCCACAAAAATAGAGAACTACTCCAACCTTTCAGAACTTTAGTATTTCTCCTCTTCATCGTTTGCTCATCTTAAATAGAAAATCATGGCCATCCGTGTTCCTCGTATAATCAAGAAGTCCTCAACAGATGTTCCAAAGGGCCATTTTGCTGTTTATGTAGGAGAGAAGCAAAAGAAGAGATTTGTAATCCCCGTATCATTCTTGAGTCAACCGGCATTTCAAGACTTGCTATGTCAAGCAGAGGAAGAATTTGGCTTCGATCATCCAATGGGTGGTATCACAATTCCCTGCTCAGAGGACATCTTCATTGGCATCACTTCTCAGTTTAGGATATAATTGAGAATCATTTTTCTTTTTATAGGTCTCAGAATTTTTGTATACAAAAGCAGGATATCCATTTTGTACAGTTGATGATTAGTTATTAGAAGTTAAGTGAGGCTTAGCACCAAAAAGTTTGGTGATTTTTACTCGAAAAAAACTAATTCAAAGAGTACAAATACAACATTAATTCTTTTCTCTTGCTACAAATGTATCCGAAAGAAATGTTTCTTGAATGGATGAACAATTTAGCTTATCTATCCAAACACTATATGCATCAAGAATAAACTTGCAATATTACAAAGAAAAAGTAAGGTACGGAGTAGAATGATTATAGAAAAAGATAAGGTAAGCGATAAAATAGGATTATTTAATAATAAAGATGTGCAATATGAGAGAAAAAACAAGGTAATGATGCGACCACACTAAATCGTGACGCTTTTCATCATTACATAACGACGGATTTAACGGTACGATACAATAAAATTTAAGTAACAATCAAAATAAATACTTCCTCCGTTTCAATTTAAATGAGACTATAAAAGCTTATCATTAAGGGTAAAGTAGGTTAAATAAAAATTTTAAAGTTGAATTGTTTCTAAATATAGAAATGTGTCATTCTTTTTTGAACGAGCTAATAAAGAAAGTGTGTCATATAAATTGAAATGGAGAGAATATTGTATTTAAAATAACACCATCCAAACAAGCTGTAAAGATGGACGTGATTATTCCACGGTCTTTAGCATGATGTACAAAGAGCACTCAAAAATCTTTGCATATACTAATGCATCATATTATATACACACTGATAGTTTAAAATGAATTTTACTGCCGGTTTTTATTTATATAAGTTAAATCCATATGGGTGGCAGGGTGGGTCTTTTTATTCTTTGCAAATGCAACCATACAAATCTGGATTAGTTGGACCAGTGAGCTGCCGATAACACATGGTTATACTTAAAAATGAAAAAACTGACCCTAACCAGCTTCTTCAAGATCCTTAGCCCAAAAATCTGTTTGCTTTCTAAAACCATTTTTGCCAAACTAAGTTCCATGCTCTTGCTCTCCATCACTTCTCTTCCGTGCATTCAAATGGTGTTCGAAATGTCGACTTTGGGCCAAGTGATTCACGCCCTTTTACATGAATATTCTGGTTTGTTTTAAGCGTGTATGTGTTCTCTGTTTTGGTAGATTTGCGTGCCAAGTCATTGTTTACCTAGAGCCGCCGTGTTATTTGATGAAATTCCTGTGATGAACACTGCTCTGAATTTCTTGACAATGCAAAACCATTTCTAAGGGTACAGTTAAATCAACTCCCCGTCTAAATGATTTGTTATTATCAGGACCAATAGATTATTAACTTTTCTGTTTTCTCCTTTTGAATCAGACTTTCTTTTCCCCGAGCTTATACAAAATGACAACAAAATGTAAAACAGTACCAAGGGAAAAGACATCACCATTCATTTCCATGATAATGTTCATTTATCAGCCAGTGCATCTTGTGAGTTGCTCTTCTGATTTACAGCTCTGCCTTCTAATACAGTATACTCCCGGATCCCCTTTTATGTGATAATGTTTGACTTAACTCGGAGTTTAAGAAGAAAGAAATAAAGACTTTTGAAACTTGAGTTCTAAAACACGCCATAAATATTTGTGCGGTTATAAATCATCTCCTCAAGGGTAAAATGAGAAGTTTAAAGTTGAATTGTTTCTAAATATAGAAAAATGTTATTCCTTTTGGGATAGATTAAAAGGGAAGGGGTGTCATATAAAATGGGACAGAGGGAGCGGTGACGTCCAATCCTACACCTCCGAAGAAAGCATAGTATGGTCCTTAGCAATAATAAACCCAACAAAGATTGGGGTCGAATCCCACAAGGAGTAGGTGTGTGCTAGAGTATCCAAATGCGTGTAAACTTAGTGATTCTTAATGTATCTTCAAACAAAGAATGATTGTTCAATTACTTCTAAAGTTACTTCTAAAATTACTACAAAAACTAGTCTAGGAATTTTATCGAACAGTTGGAGTGCGAGTAAAGATGTAGTTATAACAAATAAGAGAAAGACACTAGGATTGCTTCCCCTTCGTGTTGGCTATGTTTTTGGGTATACAAATGTTCAATTCTAATAAATTAAGCATGTGTTATGGCCTCAATTTCTATTCCACCAACTTAATGTCTTCCAACACTTAAGAGGTTTTTACCCCAAGTTGCTCTTCCAAGTCAATTAAGGCTCAATGATGAACAATTGATTAGCCCAAGTAGAAATCACACTATCCCTAGTTAGATTTCATAAATCAAGTGATTAACCCACTTAATTCCTTACTAATTACCTTGTACCTAAGCTAAGTTCCACTATTCCAAGTTAGAACAAGCAAAATAGGTATGGATTTAGTGTTTGCTACCACAAAATCAATCAATAATGCATTGAGTAATTAGATAACACAAAGTTTAATCAAATATAGAACTAATATTAATAACCCAAAAACATAACCACACTTGGAGTTCACAATCCTAGCTTAAGAAGCTTAGCTAGCCATAATAAAGAATGAAAATATAAAGATAAATGATAATCTAAACATGTTAGCTAAGAGAGTAGAGAAAGATTGAGCAAACTATGATGAAATCACCCAAAACTCTTAAGGGAAACTCCAAAAGCTGCTCTCCCACGTTCAAAAAGATCAAAGATGCCTAAAAGCTGACCTAAATTGCTATTTATAATCGTTTGCTATATTTGACAAAAGTGCCTCTATGGTGTCCAGTTGTGGCTTTGTTTGTGGAGACGATGATGTTCGTGGCCTGGTTCGTGGGCTGAAATGGCTCCACGATTCAGATCGTGGAGCTGNAAATTTGCCAAATTCAACAGGCAGAACTTGCATAATTCTTTGCTTCAGATGCCCTTTAAGATCGTGGAGTAGTTCGTGGAGACGATCAAGATCGTGGAGTTGGGCAGACTTTGCTCCAAATTTTCCCGACTTAGAACATTTTTCATGCACATTTGCACCCCTAGTTTTGGCTCCACAATTGACCTTCATGGAGACATTGTCCTTCACATTTCAATCTTCAATTTCTTCAATCTTATGCTCCAAATTCCATCTCTTTTCATCCTTTTTGATCCACTCTTTCATCAACTATTTCATTTAAGCTCACACACCTAAAATCAACCACATTAAGTTAGTTAATGCTATTAAATCTTATTTAAAAACCTTAATTGAAAGAAACTACCAACTTATCAGGGAGTAATAAATAAACTACCCGATGCTTGGATCAAGCCATTAGAAGTTTTGATTACTTAAACATTAAACCAAGAATTGAAATAGTCATGCTAAATCAATTTCTTAGATTGCTACTTCTTGTTGGTTCTGCTCTTCACGTCAACTGTAAAGAGTTGATGCTTTTGTGTAGTTGATTAACTTATCATTTGACACTATAGCTAGAGGAGGAAATAGGAATTAGGCTCTTCGTGCAGTAAGAAGCGTGTTGTTCTCGAGTCACCTGATGAGCATTCAGAGGCTATTTCTCCCCTGTCTAGAACTCTTTTAGTTTTACCGTACATTTTGAGGTCTTTGTCCCTAGTATCATACAGGCCATAGCTCTGGCTGTTCATAAATACTTAGAATGCTAAGTTTTTGGTATAGGAATTTAGATTCTCTGTGAAGTGCTATTCAAAGTCAACTTGTTGTTGATTATATAATTTGATCAAATGTTGATTTTCTTGACAAACTTAAGCCAGTATGTTGATTTTGTGGATTACTACCAGTCTATATCATAATTGCTCACCAGATTAAAGATAAGCTTCTGCCTTCTTCTCTTGCTTGTTTCCTACAAAATTACTGCTGTGGTCCACCCATGCTCAGCATTGGAGCAACAAAAGTAGACACTGGTTGGTATTGTTTTTCTTTGACTAGAAACATGGACGTATGACCTTATTGATAAATGAAACTGGAGAAATATTCTAACCTTATCCAATTCTATATTATTTCCAATAATANAAAAGTAGACACTGGTTGGTATTGTTTTTCTTTGACTAGAAACATGGACGTATGATCTTCTTATTGATAAATGAAACTGGAGAAATATTCTAACCTTATCCAATTCTCTATTATTTCCAATAATCATCATCACAATTTGACCATTTTTTAAGTGTTCTCGAAGTCTTCAACTGCACCACCACTTGGAACCATAAGAGTAAGACAATAGTTTTTTGTTATAAGAACCAACTTGTATCCTGAGCCATTGCTTTAGCACTATGGATGATCAGATTTTTGTCTAAAATTCTCAGGATATGCCCTTATAGATTTGCATTTGATGATCAATCATTGGAATTGTGACTACAACTTGTTGATTTAACTTCAAGAAATGGCTAGAGGTGGTCCCTAACTAAACCATTTTTCAAGAAGATTAGGCGTCCATATGTTCTTTGTTGTGAAGATCAGTGGAACCCTCTGCTTTTAGACTAGTCTTAATATATAAATAGTATGACAGTGATTTGGAAGGCAAAACCATGTGATATTTCAGGTGCTATTGTTTTTAGCTGGTGCCCACAAAATACTATTCAATGCACATCATTAGGACTCTACAACTTGTCATTGACCTATATAAACACATACAAAGAAGGGTTTACCATAACAGCTCTCACCAAAACTTCAAACCATACAAAGATTTTCTCTGTTTCCAGGGTCCTTACTAATTCTACCCTTCCTCATTTGTATTGAACTTAACGACCATGGCTATCCGTATGCCTTGTATAATCAAGAAGTCTTCTACAGCCGGAGACGTTCCAAAGGGCCATTTTGCTGTTTATGTTGGGGAGAAGCAGAGTAAGAGATTTGTAATCCCCATATCATTCTTGAGCCAACCTTTATTTCAAGACTTGCTTAGTCAAGCTGAGGAAGAATTTGGTTTTAATCATCCAATGGGTGGTGTCACAATTCCATGTAGCGAGGATGTCTTCGTTGATCTTACTTCCCGCTTGAGTAGGATATGAGGCTTTTCCTTTCACAGTTTTGTAGAGGGGGCTACCATTAGCTGCATAGATCCCAATTTTGACTGTAATTTTCAGTAGCTGATGTCAAAAAGACATACAGCACATTCTTTAGAAAATGAAATCTGTCCAGACTCATTCTTTAGCCAATTGGATTTTCAGTATTCTTGTTGGAGAAATTTCTTTTCAAGATTCCATTTTCTCCATAACATGGGAATTGGAGCTTCTAAAGTGCTAAAGTCTATATTAATTAACTCTAAAGAAGAAATCTTATCTGTGACCTTATCCTGAACACTGAAATATTTTTGGCAATGACAACAAAGAAAACAATATATCTGCAGCAGCAGAATATATCAAAATATCAAAGAAGTGACATTAATAGATCACACTCCATTAGATATTTTTGTTTTCTACTCTCTTTACAACAAATCTGTGGACTTGATTTATTTGAATTTCTCACAACCAGCTGAAAAACTTGAGATAATTCTGATCTGCTAGGTTGATTAAGTCATTAGATTAAAATGACTTATGATATGAGGGAAAAAAATAGTACCTCATTTTAGTCAACTTATTTCTATAAATATTTATTAGTAGAGCTGTATAATATTTACTAGGTTACCAAAATAGTGGCTGTGAAGTAACTAATGTTGCTTGTTTGCGGATTATTGAATCCAAACCCATAATGTTTTGTGTTTTACATACTTCAACGTATAAAATCTGAATACCTCAATTGCATGTTGCCTGGTAGAGTTCTTTGTAATTGAAAGTGCATTTATCTCTATAAGAAGGGTGCTTCCGAGGGTGTGAGGTGGGAGAGAAGGGACGTCACAATAGACCTACTAGACCAAGCAATTAGGATCACTTTTTATTTTGTTCTCTTTTTCTTTATCTTTTTCATTCAAGAGCTAAAGTTCACCTTTATCTTTCTCAATTTTGGTTTTTAATTTTGCTATACAAGTTTGTTGATAACACATAAGTGAATTCCCAGAATTAGTCAAATTTGTACGTCAGTACATCAGATGTTGGTTCTTTTAAGCATTCCTCAAATCAGATCTTTTGTTTGTTATAATCTTAGGAAACAGTTCCTAAACCTCCATATACAAAATGATATATTATCCATATACAAAACTGTGACATTCTTAATAGATGAGATAAGAGTAGCCAAATATTTTGGATTAAGTTCAGGACCAAGCTAGACAGCACCTGGAAAGCTGGAACATCCCACTTTCTTTTGTTCTATTGGTTCTGGTGATGGATATTCCATTTTATTTGAATAAAATCTTACTAGAAAACCATATTAATGACAAGAAATGTATAGGTGTATATTTAGACATGAATAATCACTCTAGGATACATCTTTCTTTAGCAATTTGGTTGTGAGACATGCTGTGAGCACGTGATTTTCGCCCTATATGAGAATCACTCCCAAAAATTCAAAATAAAATAAT